TATATATATTAGATTCACGTTAGATTGGCTACGTGCCGGCTTGGCTAATTGGTCTGCACAGAAGTGGACTCAATAAAGTGTGAAACAGTATCCATATGCATTGCCTATATGCCCGCACGATTCACCAATTTGGTCACCATATGGGCAACGGACACTAAATCCAGTCATTACCACAAGATTAAGTGGACTGAACAGAACGACTATCGTTAGCCCACTCACACCATAATCCGTGTGTTTGATTAGCTAACACATCCCGTGGTCACGATAGCATTCGGGATCAATGCACAAGTTATCACGTGACCCAAGCGAGCGATCCAAAAGGCACTTTGTATGCAGGGCCTTACGATGGTTCGCTACGCCGAGTCCCGGGGCTTAGATTACCGGCCACCAGCAGGTTCTCATGACCATGGGATTTACCATTCGGACGGATGAGCTATCACCATGTAAACCGAATCGCTTGAGATCCGTTCACCAATGGACATGTAGAATATCGACCCACTTCGGCATTTCGAGATCGTCATTTTTATCCACTACAAAGTTAGGCTGTGTGATTGATCTTCCTGTCTGACCCCCTCTTGACCCAGTTTGTAAGCTTAGTCATAACGTTGGTACCAAATAGATGGTTGGATTACACCGGAATCGTTTGAACCTCCGCTGTTTCGATTTCACATGATCGAAAGCTGTGTACATTGGAGATGTGAGACGGACTTTTCTGGGGATCGTTCTGCTTGCACCCATGAGAGAGCAACTTTTGGTAGACTTGTGTCCATCACATACGGTCCAGGTTCTGTCTTGGCGAGATCACGGACGCACGTGAGGAACGAAGTCCATCTAACAGCGTGCATATCAGAGCGTTGTGTCCGACAGTCAATGGGTGGTGGCCTGATCATTGACAATGCACAAGATAAATTTCCGTAATTAAAAATAACTATTTCACTATTGAAGATAGGTAATCAAACAGTTTTCAATTTTACCCGGCCCCGTGGAGGATTCGGTTTGATCATAAGCCGAATGTCGTCGTGTACAAAGTTAATGGAGTGTGAACTGAAAATCTGGGAAGCGCTGAACAGCTATTTCGAACTGGTTGGGTTTAATCAGCACGTGAGTCATAACCTTGGAGGATTTAGTGGTGAGATACGCAAGGTGCGATGTCTGCACTAAGCTGGCAAAGACAGGTTGTGCTATACCGGGTATATATTCCGAACGAAAAACAGGTTGATCAACTGCCGCCAGGTGGTTATATGAGTAGTATGCTTCCGTTCAATCTGTGCTAAGGTGGTCCGGGGTTTGTGATCCCCGGATGGATTCGCCCGCACTGTGCTGATGATACCCAATCAGGTCGAAACAGCTGTACAGTAGTGCTTCTTAGCATTTTAGTTCACGCTTCGCACAGAGTATACACTGGGAATGAATGAGGAAAGAACAGAGGGAAATAATGTAACGAAAGTAAATCATACCGTGGGTGTAGACGGGAGGTTCTGTTCTGTGCCTGGTGTTAGCACCGTGCTGTCTTTGTCTAATCGCCGTTTTTGAAATTCATGGAGAAGATCTCCCGCTCGAGAACCCAATTCATGAGGTCCTATAAGATTTGAAACGAGGGGGAAAAAAACTCCAAAGAATAAGACAATTGATTACAGGTTACGCCTTTTCTTATCATATATCTATCTAACCTATCTATCTATCTATCTATCTATCTATCTATCTATCTATCTATCTATCTATCTATCTATCTATCTATCTATCTATCTATCTATCT